AAACACGCCACAACACGCCAAGCAAGAGGGCCTTAAAGATTGCCAAGACAGCCCCAAGAGGCCCCGGAAACGGCGAAGATGGCCTCAGGACGGCCGACGACGCCGCCAAAACGCCCCAAGAGCGCCTCCAGAGGCCCCTCCAAAGGGCCCCGCATTTTTGCGCTCTCGCATGTTCCGCCTCCCCACGGTCCCGGACGGTGTTAGTAGAGGCCTTTCAGATCGCTCCAAGACGGCCGAAGAGGCTCCCAACGAAAGACCAGAGACGGCCCAGGAGGCTCCCCGGATAATTCAAGAGGGCCTCGAGAGCGCCCCAAGAAAGCCCCAAGAGCGACCCAAGAGGGCCCGAAGAGCGCGACATTTCAAGGTCTCCGGCCTGAGAGCCTCCATAGGACGCCCCCGGAGGCCATCAAGAGGCTCCCAAGAATCCCCGTGAGGCTCCCAAGAGGCCCCCCGGAAGCCCTAAGCCCCCCAAGGGCCCCCCAGGGAAGCCCCCTGCGGGCCCCCAAGAGACCTCGGTAAATCGTATTTCCCAGAGCTTTCCGGGAACATGATTCCTTGGGCTTCCGCCTACCGCCCCAACCATGTTTCCAATACGCTTGCCGACAAGGCCAAAAAGGGCCCCTCGGTAAGCCCCCAGAGCCCCCCCTCTTAAGAGAGCCGAACAAATCATGCTCCCGGAAAGCTTCCAGGGAACATGATTCTCGGGTTGCGGCCCTCTCCCCAAACCATGTTTATATTCGCCTGACAGGATAAAACAAAAACGAGAGTCCCAAGCAGCGCTACCTGCCGCCACGCTCGGAAACGCATCAGGCCCCGAAGCCTCCGGAGGCGCCCAACGACACCCCAACAAATCATATTCCCAGGAAGTCTTACGGCCAGTGCCGCCGACGTTGAAGGAGGACAGTCCAGGACACCCAGAAATCTTCCAAACAGGCTTCCAAGAGGGCGACGAGACAGCCCAGGGCCGCCCCCAGACGGCCCAAGAAAGCCCCAACACAGACGAAAAGTGCAGCAAGAGGCCCCCAAGAGGCCCCGAAACGAGGACATATCGTTCGAACACGCCCAAGATGGCCTCCGGACGGCCCACAAGGCTTCCAACACGGCCCAAAGGGACGCCAAAATCATTGATTGTCCATAGGTTGTTGATGGATTTCAGACACCCAATGTCGCCCCAACAGGCCCCCACGAGGGCGCCGAGACGGCCCAGGGACGCCCTGCCGCGGGCACTTGGCGGGGCCCGGGACGGGGCCCTCGCACCGGGGGGCCCGGGGGCCCTGCCTTGGCGCTGGGGGCCTTGTAAAGTCGCCCGAAGACGGCCCTGGCGTTTCCAGACAAAAACGACCAATGACCGCCCGAGATCACCTCAGAATTGGTCCCTGCATGTCCAAGAGGCCTCCAAGACGCCCCAAGAGGTCTCCACGATGGCTCCCAAGGAGCCCCAGGAGGCAAAACTGATTAGTTGCCCTTTGGTTTTTGATCGATTTTCGAGTTCTCGCCTTTTGAGTTCCTGACGCTCCACGACGGCCCAAGAGGCTTCAATTTCCGCTCCAAGGCATCCCCAGAGGCCTCGAAGACGGTCACAAGACAGCCCACCGGGGTCCCAAGACGGCGCCAGGGGCACCCAGGGCGGCCCGCGAGGGCGCCAAGACGGCCCCAAGATGGAGCCAAGAGGGTTGACACGAACCGAAAATCTGAGTCTTCCACCCCGAGAGGCTCTCAGGAGGCCCCGAGAAGTTCCTAACAGGCTCCAAGAGGCCCCAAGAAGCCCCCCAGGGGGCCAAAGAGTATCCAAGAGGCCTCCCACGAAGGCCCCAAGCGGCGAACATCCATGTCTTGCCATAATAAGGTTGTTCCCCACATCTTCAGTGAGTTTTTTGTTTTCTCTGGACGGCCGCGGGCCACACCACACCCACACCCAGTCACACACACACACCACCCAGTCACACACCATCATCATCATCATCATCATCATCATCATCATCATCATCATCATCATCATCATCATCATCATCATCATCATCATCATCATCATCATCATTATCATTATCATTATCATCATCATCATCATCATCATCATCATCATCATCATTATCATTATCATTATCATTATCATCATCATCATCAGCATCAGCATCAGCATCAGCATCATCATCATCATCATCATCATCATCGTCATCCTCGGGCATTCCATGCGAGCCCGCTGGCGCGGAAGGGACCTCCCCTGTGGCCCCTAGGGGGTCCCACCTAAAAGTTGGAAGTCCAATGGCTATCATCACCAGCGAGCCCGCTCGAACGGAATGACCCTCAGGGGTATTCCATGCGAGCCCGCTCGCGCGGAAGGGACCTCCCCTGTGGCCTCTTAGGGGGTCCCACCTAAAAGTTGGAATTCCAACGGCTATCGGCACCAGCGAGCCCGCTCGAACGGAATGACCCTCAGGGGCATTCCATGCGAGCCCGCTCGCGCGGAAGGGACCTCCCATGTGGCCCCTAGGGGATCCCACCTAAAAGTTGGAATTCCAACGGCTATCGGCACCAGCGAGCCCGCTCGAGCGGAATGACCCTCAGGGGCATTCCATGCGAGCCCGTTCGCGCGGAAGGGGCGCCATCGAACAAATGGCTGATTCAGCGTCGGTTCCAGCAGACAGCGAATGTCTACCGCATGCTGGGGTCATGGAATGCACGGCTGGCGCCAATAGTATTGTTCATTATTGGCAGTGTCTTGTCATGTGTTTCTCTCCATTCTTCGATTGTTGGTCCTCTCTCTCCCTGTCCGCTCGATCGTCTCGGCATCACTAGTCCCGCCAAGGAATCCATGCTGGTTCCTGCTTGCAGGTATCTCTTGTGCAACGAAATCCGCGCCAAATCTCAGCGTGTCCAGAGGCCACTTTCCATTTCGGAGGCTCGGGTCCTCCTGCCCACAGTCCGCCGCCAGCTGCGGCGGTAGCGTCATCCAGTTGCTGACGAACCCGAGACGTCCACCCACGCGGCAAGAAGAGGAGGGGGGGGAGGGGGAGGGGAGGAGGAGGAGCAGGAGCAGGAGCAGGAGCAGGAGGAGGAGGAGGAGGAGGAGGAGGAGGAGGTCGGAGAGGAGGAGGAGGAGGAGGAGCAGGAGCAGGAGCAGGAGCAGGAGCAGGAGCAGGAGGAGTAGGAGGAGGGGGAGGAATATCAGGAGGACGAAGAGGGGGGGGGAGGAGGGGGCAGAGAAGGAGGGACATTGTTCTTGTAAAATTCGCTTGTTCTCTGATTTTCCGGCTCGGGGGCGGCTGCTGAGGACGAGGGGGGGCGGGGGGCGCAAGATGAAAAGGGGTCGAGAGGAGGCAGGAGGTGAAGTAGGTGGACGGACGAACACAAGGAGGAACACGCCGAAGAGCGGGGAAGACAGGGAGGAGGAAGAGAAGGAGGAGGAGAGAAGAGGAGGAGGAGGTGAAGGAACAGGGATCCTTTGTCAGGGAAGCGCCGACGAGGAAAAGGATGTATATAAGATGATGGGAAGAGGGATAACGGTAAGAGGAGGAGGTGAGGGGATTGCAGAGGACCGGCGACGACGACGCTGAGGATGATGACGATGACTACGCCGACGACGCCGACGACGACCAACAAGATGTTGATGATGCGGACGATGATGCTGAAAAGTACGATGATGATGAAGGGATCACGATGCTGATGATAATGGTGATAATGATGTTTTTTTGTGATGGTGATGGCGAAGGTGACCATGACGATGACGATGCAGATGGCGGGGATGAGGATGACAGTGATGACGATGATCATGGCCCCAGCTAGAACGTGAGCGCGCCCGAAGCGCGCGCGATGGTTTTGTTGTATATCTCTCTCTCACTCTATATATATACACACATACCCGCCCACGAGGCCCGGGCGCCCGAGGCCCACGCCACGGGGGGGCATGGGAGGACCGGGGTTTCCCAGACCGCCCCCAGAGCACCCTGGAGCGGCCCTGGAGCTCCCAGACTGCCTCTGAGAGCTCCCAGAAGCCCCCGGGGACTTCGACAAGTCCCTCCAAGACACCCCAGATAGCCCCAACGTGGCCCAAGATGGGTTTGAAACTGCAAATACAGCCCAAGAGGCCTCCAAGAGGCCTCAAGAGAGCTCCGAGAAGCATCCCGAGAGAGCCCGAAGAGGCTCAAATGATTCATTTCCATGTGTTATTTCACTGTTGTTCGGTGTCTCGCGTGTTCGACTGTCCGACGCTCCACGACGGCCGACGACGCTCCCAAAACCTCCCCAAGACCGCCGAAGAGGCCCCCCAAAGAGCCCCGAGACAGCACCAAGGAACTTGAAAATTACCCAGGAGCAGCCCCAGACGGCCCAAGAGAGCCCCAGGACAGGCTCACAGCCCAAGAGCCCTCCAAGAGGCCCAGCTCCAAGAGGCGTCCCGAGAGAGCCCGAAGAGGCTCATATCCCTGATTTCCAGTGTTTTTTCTAATGTGTTTCGCTTTCTCGCGTTCTCGAGCTTCCAACGCTCAAGACGGCCGAAGACGCCCCGGAGATCGCCCCGAGACCGCCGAAGAGACCCCAAAAAGAGCTCCAAGACGGCCCAGGAGAGCGTGAAGATTGCCCAAGAGCAGCCCAAGACTGCCCAAGAGAGCCCCAGGACAGGCCCAAGCTGGGCCACAGATCGGGAGCGGGAGGCCCCAGGGCGCTCCAGGACGGCCGAGATGATCCCAACGTGGCCCAAGAGGAGCTCAAGACGGCAAACACACAGCCCAGAAGGCCTCCAAGAGGGCCCAAGAGAGCTCCGAGAGACGTCCCGCTCAAGCTGTTTTGGCTCGAGCTCCTTTTCTGGAGATTTCGGCCACTTGCCCTGGCTGTACCATTTATTGCGATAGCTTGAGAGCCGCCCTTCGGCGGTTAACGAGGGTAAGATCACTACCAAAGGCTACTTCCCATGGCCCCCAGCAAGGACCAGCTTCCTCGCTGGACCTGTCAACAGTGCGGCTGCAAACGCAACTTGGGGCGCTGGCGTCACTGCAAGCATTGTCATGGCCCTCGTCACGACGTTGCTCCCGCAGACGGTGGCCAGCCTCCACGTGGGCAATGGGCCTGGGGCGCTCCAGGCGCTTTCTCGGATCACTACCGCCACTGGAGCCAGCAGACGGAGCGCGGCGGGAGCGGGCACGACTGGAACGGCGGCTGGGGTGGTGGTGCTGCGTGGAAAGGCTATATCCCCCCACCGCCTGCACCGACGTCTGGTGGCCCTCCTGGTGCTGTGTCTCCTCCTCCTGGCGGCACCCTGCCAGTTCTTCCCGGGCCGCAGTTCTTGTCCAACAACGCCCCGGCGCTGCTGCCCAAGCTCGCCGCCAACGTTTCCCTCGGGGATATTCAGCAGACCACCGAGGCGCTCAACAAGATTGGCGATTTTGACGGGGCCAAGGGGTACCAGCGGGTTCTGGAGCAGCGGAAGGCTCAGGCCGCCAGCGCAGCCCAAGAGCCGATGCTCCAGCAGCAGGTCGTTTGGAGGCGAAGCTTTCCAAAGCGGTTTCTCATCATCAGCGCCTTCAGGAGCAGCTCCAGTCCCAGCGCGATTGGGTTCAGAAGGTCACGGGTGAGTTGGACGCTGCAGAGGCGGAGCATACTAGATTGGTTCGCATTCTCAACGAAAAGACGGGTGGGACAGCACCGCCACCGACAGTCATCAGCACCGACGATATTCTTTCAGGCGCAGTCACGGAGCTACCAGTTTCCTTGGGGTCGCTGGCTGGAGATCTCTCCGACGAGTATGAAGTGGACGAGGCCACCCAGAAAGAGGCCAAACAACGGTTGGAGCACCTTCAGTCTGAGATTCGAGCAGCAGTTGTCAATCTCTTCGGCGAAGCTTGGACAGCCAAGGCTTTCAAGTCAGAACGTTCGGAACTCATCAACCGTCTTCAGAAGAAGCGTCGTGCAGGGGGATCAGATGATCCAGTTGTCGTCCCAGGAGGTGAGGGAGGCGCCCCGGCAGCAGGTGGGCGCGGCGAACCTCCTGCTCCTGAGAACGGCGCTGCGGCCAGCGGTGGAACCACGGCCCAGCCTGGCTCCTCTGCGGGCGCGGAGGCGGCAGCCCGCCGTGCCGCTCGGGAGGCAGCAGCTGCCGCCATCAAGAACACCCCCTCCCTTCCCCGAAGGTGCCGCGAGCGCATAAAGGCCCGAGGGGGCCTGAGGGGGGGGGGGGGGGGCTTTCGTTCCCAGGTTTCACGTGCTACGGCCTTGTGCCGAATATAAACTCGTTTTGGACTAAGCTCACTTGGACTAGGATCTTGGCTCAGGATCTCCTGGGTTCGTCTCGGTTGGACACCCGGGCCCAGGGTTCGAGCCTTACCTCCCCTCCTTCGGATCTCCCTCCTCCTTTTCGCCAGGGACAGCCCTCCTCTTTCGCTCTGAGTTTTGCAGCGGCCAACGTTTCAGGGTGGGGGGCTGGTCAGAAGTACCTTGCGAGTACGTGTGCCCATTTTGTGCTTATGCAGGAGCACCACATTCTGGCTGGGGAGGGGGCCCAGAAAGCTAGTGCCTGGTCGACTCGGCATGGCTGGCGAGGCATATGGGGCCCTGCGGCCCCTGGGGAGGGGTCGGGGGGCACTGGCGGAGTGGCGATCTTCGCGAGGGACTTCCTGGGCCTCCACCTCAATCCAGCTCAAGGGGCTCAAGGGTCTAGAGTGATCTCGGGCATCGTTGGAATCCCAGGTGGCATTGACTTCTGCGTTGCCTCTATGTATCTTTATGACGGCAGCGGCTTTGCCTCCAAGAATCAACAACTTCTGTCCGACGCGGGGATGGCTGCTTCCAGTTCGTGCCTGCCGTGGCTCATCGGCGGAGATTTCAACACTTCCCCGTCGGACTTACACGAGACAAGTTTTCACGGGCAGAGCGGGGGCATCATTGCGTTTCCAGATTGTTCGGGTACCTGTCACATCGCGGGAGGGATGAGGATGAACGGTTACTTTATCGCCAGCCCTGGGCTAAGTTCAGCTGCTCAGGCCTTGGATCGCGTTTCCAATGGGGACCCCTCGCCCCATTGGCCCGTCAGGCTCACCCTCTTCCCGCAGTTTGGCAAATTGAGTGCTCTCAATTCGAAGCGACCCGCTCGGTTCCCCGCTGTTCGGATGATCGGTCCTGTGCGCGAGGCCCCTAACAATCAAGCCACTTAGGCTCGGATTGCCGAGGACCTCGAGGCGGCTCAGCGAGGCGACGGCCCCGCTACCCAGTCTCTCCCCACCCCCTCGCCCCACCAACTCTGGGCGGATCTGGCGGAGAAGGAGATCGCGGAAGCGGCGGGAGTTGAGCTGAAGAACCCAGGTTCCCGAGGGGGCCTCCCTTCCTTGGTTTGGTCATCGGTTTTCATGAAAGACGCTAAACCTTCCAGGCGTCCCGATTTACTGTCGATCCGATGGCTTTGGAAGGCCACGGTTATGCTTGAGCCTGCCATTCAGCGCTCCGCTCAGGACGGCCTCTCGGACGCCATATCATATGGTTTCGCCGTCCACCTGTCCGTCACTAAGCACGCTGGAGACTATAAGCATCTTTTCCGCGAGTCCTTGGACTGGTGTCACCGCTCGGCTGACACTACTGATGCGCTCTGGAAAGGGTTAGGTTGTGGCATCAGTGCGTTTCGATCCTCCGTTCGAAAGGCCATGGATTCGGTCCTTGAGAGAACTCGGTTGGAAGCTTCTCAGGGATGGAGGTCCTGGCTCTTGAAAGGGATAGACCAAGGAGGGCGCAGCGCCCACCTGGCCTCGAATGCCCCCACCCCCCGGCAGCCGACTACTGTGTTTCTTTGCAACGGCAAGGTCGTTAGCGATCCCTTGAGTATTCTGCAATTCGGAGCTTCCAGATACAAAGGGCTGCGGAGGGCCACCCCCTGCCCCCCTCCCGCCCCTGCGGTTTTCACTCCCGCCCCTCCCTTGCCGCCACTTGAGCTGGATTAGGTTCGGAATTTGTGCCTTCGGCGCAAAGAGCGCTCGGCGGTGGCCTCGGGCGGTTTCCACATCAGACACATCGGATGGTTGTCTGATCAAGGGTTAATCAGTTTGCTTTCGATTGTTCTGGTTATGGAAACCTCTGGGCTTATTCCCGCCCAGGTAGCGATGATTTTGATGTATCTCATTCCCAAGGTCCCCGTGGGGGTCCGTCCGGTAGGGGTGTTCTGTGCCTCTTATCGGGTTTGGGCAAAGGACCACAGGCCTATTGCCCACGACTGGGGGAAGCGAAACGCTCGCCCTTACTTTGTTGCGGGTAGTTTCACGGGTGCTGGGGATACCGCGCGGCGTCGGCTTCTTCGTGCTGAGGTTGAAGTTGCTAGAGACAATACGGCTGCTAATCTGCTCTGGGATTTTGTCAAGTAATACGAAACCCTTCCCCTCGGTCAGCTGCAGCAGAGGTGTCTCCAGTACGACTTTTCTTTGGCCGTCAGCAGAGTTGCCATCGCGGCCTACGCGTCGGCTGGGCATGTGTGTCTCCAGGCGATGATCTCCGATGCCGTCTTCGCTCAGTTCGGGGTTGTCGCGGGCTGCAGTCTGGCTACCACGATGATACATATTAATAGCATAGGCCCTCTAGACAAGATCGCCTGGAGCCCGCGTTTGGATTTCAAGTTGTACATCGACAGTAGTAGTATTGCTGCGGTGGGAACCCACGGCGAAGTTGTTTCAGGCGTTGATGAAAGAGCTCGAGCCCTTCAGAATGCCACCGCAGAGATCGGGGCCACTCTCTCGGCCGACAAGGCCATCCTCATCTGCAGCTCCAAGACCGTCGGCTTGGAGATCCAGGGCTCTCTTGGGGTTGAACTTTCAGGACCCCCGGTGTTAAAACAGGAGTTAACTTAGGAGTGGACGACACCCAGGGGACCTCGTTCCGTCACCAGGGGGAAATCGCCAGGACTAAGCGAAGATTGGCCGAGGGCAACGCGAGAAGCAGGCGGCTTGGCAAGTTCGGTCGTGTTTTAAACAGGCAGCGCCTCCGTCGTCTCTGGGTCGCTGGTCCTCTGCCTGTTTCCACTTACGGGTCTGAGTGTTATGGGCTCTCCCCCTTCGGAAGTCCTTGCGCTCAGGCGCAGCTTGGGCCGTCTCATCAAGCCATCCTGCAGTGGTAGATCGCTCTCGGCCCTGATGCTCCTGGAAAGTGACCCCACCTGGCAAGTTCAAATTTCTGTCATCAGCGGGTGGCATCGCGAGGTATGGGCCTCCTCTAGTCATCTCCACGCTGCCGCGTTCCCGCTCCCCCAGCTGCGTAGGTGGTGGGGCAGCGCCTGGGCTTGCCCCCCCCCCGCGCGTGGAGAGGGGTCAAGGCCCCCCCTGTCTGGGATGCACTTGACCCTCCTGGGTCTTGGTTGCGAGATGCCAGAGTTCAACAGGTTGGTGGACGATCTTGGGAACTCTCGCGAGCTCTTATCCCCCCCCCCCCCCCCCCTTCTGAGGAAACACCTTCGAGCTGCGGTCGTCAGGAGACTCGAGCGCTAACTGGCGCACAAGCAGTGTTTCGGGCACGGCGGGCTCTGCTACGATGTGGTCTCCTCTTTCTTGGCCTCCTCCACATGCGCCCCCCTTCAGAAAGGGATTCTGAGGAGCTGTGCGTGCGGCGGCATTTGGACCCGCATGAAGGCCCGCGGCTGCGGGCACCAGTTTCCAGCAGAGTGCGAGCTCTGCGGCGCGCCCACCGATTCGATTGTCCACCGCCTATGGATGCGTCCGAAGTTGCAAGCTCTTCGTTCAGAGTTGGTAGGTCAGGAGCTCCTGGACTCTCTGTTTGATTACGTTACCTCGCCTGATAAGTTGTTTGTGGTTACGCACGGAGCCCTCCCTCACCCTGGAGACCGGCATCCTCCACCTTGTCACATGGACGACGATGCTCTAATCACCTGGCACCCCCCCCCCCCCAGCCAGAATCGTTTGAAGCTGTGGTTTTTGTAGATGGATCTTGTACGAGAAGGGTCATCAAGGAATTGTCTAGAGCCTCCTGGGGAGTCGCCCTGTACAGTTCCGACCAGGAGTTGCTCGCCGCCGCCTCGGGGCCCGTCTGGGCACATTTCCATCAGACGCCCCAGGCTGGAGAGTTTTGTTGTTTTTTGGCGGGTGTCCAACTGATTTCGGGTCCCTCGTCTATGGTTTCCGATTGCGAGAGTGTTGTAAAAATGTTTGGCGCCGACCGTGCCAGACAGCTCAGTGACAAAGGCGTTTATTCTGGCCATCTGTTGCAGGCGAGAGCCGAACCTGGATTTAAACATTTAACGCAGGTTTCGCATGTTAAATCCCACCAGTCGGTCAATGATGTTTCGATTTCCCTTCAGCTTCGCTTCTGGAGGGAAGGGGGCGACCAGGCCGACGCCCTGGCCAACGCCCCGCTTGCGAGGCACCCTTCAGATTTGAAGCTTGAGGAATCCCTTGCCAATGACATCAAATTCGCTAGAGCTTACTGCACTCTTGCGATGCACCTTCTCCCCCAAGTTGCCCCCCTGCGAGGGTACGGAGAAGTAGTTTACGTCCGTCCGCCGAAGCCAGAGAGAGCTGGCCAAGGGGTTGCATTTCTGGCGGCATTTCGGTACTTTTTGGAAGTGTTTGCTCTGCCTCCAAGTGCGTCGCAGCCCCTGGCCTCGCAAGCCCCCTTTGGAGGACTGCCCTGGCACTCGGGAGCTGCCGCCGCAGCAAATTAATAGCTTGGGTCACTCATGCATAGGCTTAGAATGTTCTGACGGAGCCACTCTAATTCTGTGTACATCTTGTAAGTCCTACTCGTCTCACGGGAGGTTCAGGGGCCCGCGTGTAAAGTGCCCGACTCGCCCATCGCGTTTTGGAAGGCGGGTTTGGTCGGAGGTCTCCTAGGGGCGTCACCCCAAGAGACCCTCCATTGGCGTAGACTGCCCAATATCCAGCTCTGACCTGGAACGCTTGCCCCGAGGCCCCTACAGGCACCTCCCCGCCCCCTCGGGGCCCCCGCAGGACACGGATTCCGAGGGGGAGGCCCGTCAGCAGGAAACGGCCTCGGAGCTTCTTTTGGCGCTGCAGAAGCGGGGAACCCATCAAGAGCTGCGACGGGACAATCCTTCTTTCCTGGCGAGGCGACGCCAGGATGAGTCGGACAGCTCTGATTAGCTATTTTCTATGGCGTCAGGACGCCTTCATTCTTATTCGTTCATTTTCAGCACGGCCCGACGCGGCTGACCCTTTCGGCGGGCATCCGTGCTATGCCCCACATCTGGGGCGAGGTCGGCAGTCGTCCTGCTGCTGGCTGCACCAGGGGCTGCGGGCCTCGTCGTCCTTGCGTGGGTGGTCGTTAATTTGTTTATTTCTCGGCCTTGGGCCTCTTCTTTCTTGTGGAAGTTTGGTTCTGCTCTACGTATGGGGCGAGGCTGCCGTTGTCCTGGCGCATCTTGCACCTGGGATAGCAGAGATCGTCGTCCTTGTGTGGGCGACTGGGGTTTTTCTTCTGAAGCGTGCTGTTATTCGCGTGCGTGCGCGCCCGTCTCGCACGTGTGTCAGGCACCCCGCTTCAGGGGGAAGGCATGCGCACATCTAGGGTGCACTTCTTCTTTCTCCGGGCACGGGGATAGCTCATCCCGACCGTGGCTCGTTTAAGGTGTTGCCGTGGACAGGTAGCCTGGCGCTCCTGGCCCCAACATCTCGGCCCCCCTCTTGCATCGCGCGGCCGTCTCGTGTGTGTGCGCCCCGCTCGGCACGCGTATCAGGCACCCCGCTTCAGGGGGAAGGCGCGGCGCACTCGCGGGGGATGTCACGTGTTTCGGCGAGCACGGGGGCAGGCGCTCTGCCTTGACAGTTGCTCGTTTTTGGGTGGTGTTGCTGTGGACTGGAGACTCAGGCTCCTAGCCCCAACACCAGTGCAGCGTCAGCACCCTGGCTGTTTGACCGTCCGTCCTCTTGCACAGTCGAGGGCAGGCGGTCCGAGCTGCTTTTCCATCTGCAGGACTCCTGCATTTGGCCTTGGTATCCCTGCCTAACTCTGGCAGGGAAGTCATTCTGCAGGCTGTCGCCGCCCCAGTCCCTGCAGGAAAACTCACTTGGGGTTGAAACGAACAAAATCCGAGAGACGTCCCGAGAGAGCCTAAGGAGGCCCAAACCATTGATTTGCATTGGTTTGTTCGATGTTTTACGCTTTCTCGCGTTCTCGAACTTCCAATGCTCGAAGACGGCCGCAGACGCCCCCAAGACCGCCCCGAGACCGCCGAAGAGGTTCCCGAAAGAGCCCCAAAACGGCCCCAGGGAACGCGAAAGTAATCCAGGAGGAGCCCCAGACGGCCTAAGAGAACCCCAGCAGGCCCACGCTGGGCCACAGAGCGGGAGCGGGAGGCCCCCGAGGGCTCCAAGACGGCTCAGACGGCCTGGTCCTCCCCCCTCCGTCCCTCTTTCCCTCCCGCCCCCTCCCCTTGCCTCCATTCCCTCATCTGTCTTCTTCTTCCCCTCGCACCTCAGCTTTCCTGCTCCTCCCTTCTCTCCTGGGACGGCCCCACCAGAGTGCCAGACCGGCCTCTCCACAGCAAGCGGGGCATCGCTATGCCCCATCAGTTCACACGTTGTTTTCCCCCTCCCGCCCCTCAAGGTTGGCCCTGGCAGAGCACAGCATTCTGACTACGCGCTTCTTTGCGTCGATGGCATGGGCCCGAGAACGCTGGAATCGTCGTTGTGACCTCATCTGCGACTCGAATCTAAGCGCGCGTAGCGCGCGTGTGGTTCTAACCTAATATATATATATATATATATATATAATATATATATATATGTGTATACATGTCTACAGGTGTATGTATACATGCACTTCCTTACGTGCTTACTGATAAACTCCCCACTTAAGATGTATGCGTGTAATTATGTATGTATGTATGTATGTATGTATGTATGTATGTATGTATGTATGTATGTATATATATATATATGTTTATATATGTATAGATATACATATATATATATATATATATATATATATATCGACAGAGGCCAACTACGTTCCAACATTTCGACACTCGAGAAGGGAAGGCCAGACAGAGGAGGAGCAGCGCTGGGCAGGATTGGGTGGCCCAGCCAGAACCGGGCGATCATCTCGCGGCGGAAGGGGGTAGTGCGTCCGGAGCTTAAACACGCTCCGTTGTCAATTGAAGCGTCGGCGGTTCAGGCGTCGTCGTCGTCGCCAGCGCGGTCGTCGGTGTGACCCGCGCCGACCTCGACGAAGACCGACGACCGACGACGGACGACGGACGACACCGGCGGCGGCGACCAGCGCATTTGCAGCGCTCGACCGCATCCGTCAGGCCAGCGCGGCGCGGCGATGGGTAACAATGCCCTCGCCGGCCACGCCATCCGGCCAGTCATGGGGTGCCTCGGGTGTGGGGACATTTGCCACGAGCCAAAAGGGTCCTCAGGGGCAGGGGTGCTGACGGTGGAACGGACAATGTCATAAGCATGAAAATTCTGAGGTCCGCGCGGGCTCTTCGGATCGGCGGTGGGGCTTTCTGGCGGCGCCTCCGGCGCCAGCCCTGGAACGCGGGGGGGTCCAGCGTTGATCCGCCGAGAAATCCGCGCGGACCTCTGAGTTTTTCTCTCGTTGCATTGTGTGTTGCCCTAGCAGAGTTTTGTTCGAGCAGTGTTCGGCCTCGCGGGGCCCTTCCGCGCCCTCGATGCCGCCAAAACAACGATCCCGGACCAAAAGCCGCTTCAGGGAAGCCACGGGGCATCCAGGACCCATTTCCCTCCAGCTCATGGCCAGGACACCTTCGAGTCCGGTGTGGGTACGCTCATCAATCTGAACGGCATCGAACCGTGGAACGCGAGGGACCTCATCAAGAAGAACCTTGACAGGCAGCTGGAGCTCGCCAAGCGGTCCCCGCTGAGGAGCATACCCATTCTGGATGGTTTGGATTTCGTGCGGCGGCAAAGCGAGGAAGCGTGGGGTGGTAGTTTGATGAACGCTGTTGGACTGGCGCCTGCCACCATCAAGAAGATGCAGTTCGTCCGAATTCTCACGAACCTCCTGAAACACCCACAACTAGGCGTTCGGCATTCTCAACGGGACATCGATGATTTAGCGCACGTCTTCGAGTCCATAGATTTCGACGGGAATGGCGAATTGAGCCTCGGCGAGTGGGCTGGTGGTCTGTCTGTCTTCTTCAAGTCGGATCCCGATTCTGCTGTGAAAGCGATTTTTCAAACCTTGGACACTGACCACAGCGACGACATCACGAAGAGAGAACTTCAGGAGTATCTGAAGCCCTTCGTGAACGCCATGTCGCCACTGGAAGCTGCGTCCCTGCGACCTCTGCTCCTCAAGAAGGCCACAGATGACATCTTCTCGGAGATGGACGCGGACCATTCAGACACCATTTCTGTCGCGGAGATGATCAAGTGGTCAAAGCGGGGCAAAGACGTCGTCCACGTGTTGGCCGACATCATCGACAAAGAGGTCTATGTCATCATCCTGAACCAGAGGGACAAGAAGAGGGAGAAGACAGGGAGGGACGAGAAGTTGGGCACGTCGATTAGCCGCCGTGCAAATTCCAGGTTCGGCGGTGTGCAAAAGAGACTGGCCCAGGGGGGTGGCCTTCTGAGAAGGACGGGGGGAGGGCTTCTCAGAAGAAGCTCACGGGAAACGATAGGGGTGGATAGTTAGGCTCAGGGGTGAGCGCATCGACCCCCCATCGCTTACTGATCGCCGATGGGTGTCCAGCAGCCCCACCCCGCCCAGGCAAGTGCGGAGTCGGTATCGAGGGCAGTTCGCCTATCTATCGACGATGTAGTGCCGAATCTGGGCCGATCTGTTCCCTCCGTGAGCCAGTCCCCCCGCTCCGTTGCCACTCAGAAGCCCTCTCATGCCGAGGCCTTGGAGCCTCCCTCGAGAAGCACCCTGGCCTTTCTGAAGGCCAGCCCCCTCCAGGGCAGAAGTCAGCAGTTCGGCCGACGACGGCGGCGACGTTGCCGACGACGACGCCGACGACCACGCCGATGACAACGCCGCTGACACTGACATTGACGTCACCGACGACGGCGGTGCCGACGTCTGAAGCCTGAAGCCACGCTAAGAAGGCTGCCCCCCCCCCCCCGCACTACCCCCTGCCCCCAGTTATCCGACGACGTGAAATGTTCAATTCGCGGCCCCAGAGGTCCCGACCTTTGCATCCGGACCGAGGTATGAGATCCAAAGATCCAGGTCGGTCCGGGGAGGGTACCCTTATGTTCTTCATGTTTGTTGGATGTTTCTGCGCTGGAGCGCTGCTCAGTCGATCTCCTCTTCGCCACGTCCTGTGGCCATGGAGGGGGCTGCCTGGCGGTGAAGGCTATGGTGGCTGCGGGGGGGGCCGACCCTTGTGGGGCTGCCCAGGGGCGCTGCGAACGCTCGAGACTGCCTCGCTGGGCGCCTCTGCTGCCCGAAAGGCCGCGCGCAGGCGACGTCTGGCGGCAGCGGAGGCTGCCGTTCCGAGGCGGGGTGGCCCCGGTTCGTGGTAGGACCCCGAGGCGGCTGCGCGGTCAGCGCTGATGCTTGCGGCGAGCATCAGAGACGTTCTTGCCCCACGATTAGTTTAGACGAGTTGTGGGCAAAAAAGTCCATGATGTCCGCCTAGGCCCCCGTCGGACGAGCGGAGATGCGAGAGCAGTGGCGCGCGCGGTCGCGCGCGACCCGCCGCTGGTAATAACGTGGATGGCGGGCGTCGCGGCGACGACGACGGCGACGGCGATGACGACGGCGGCGCTTGCGCCGACGGTGACGATGACGGCGGCAACGGCGACGGCGGCGACGGCGAACATCGCGGCGACGGCGGCGACGGGGCCCGTGCCCACGGGCGATCTTGCGCCCCGCCCTCGCTCCTGGAGCCCCAGGCCAGATTTTATGGGAGGAGCGAAGTTTTTGCGCGCAGTGTTTACCCCAACCGCTCCTCTGCTTTACTGAGGCTTTCTTTTCGCTTCAGCAAAACGTCGTTTTTTCTCGGAATGTATCGATCGGCGCGCCTTTACTGAAGCCGTTCCCTCGCTTTAGTATAGCCGCTGCCTCGCTTTAGTGAAACCGCTTCCTCGCTTTAGTCAAGTCCTCGGCCTGCCTTTGATAGAGCCCCGGGGATGCGGTGGCGATGCGGGGCCATTGCCTGGTCGGGGGGGGGGCCTGTCTTTCCTGCTGGTTCACCGCGCGATGCATTTGCTCGAGTAACCAGAGTCGCCTTGCATCGGGTCGCCGCGACTCTTGGACATGTTTTCAGCGAGCTGGACATGCTCCTTGACAGAAGATCCAGGGCGCGAGCGCATGACGTGGCTCGGCAATTCGGGTGCGCCACCGCTGCTGTCGCGCACCAGAGCGAAAGCACGTTACTAAAAGGCTTGTGCCGTTTAGCAGATAACGCTCCTGTGAATTAGCAGTGTGAACTCTTCCGCTTCCAAGAGCGGCCGCCGCGTCCCGGGCTCCTGGAGGCGGTGCCGCAACGCCGCGCTCCACGCGGCGCGCATCCCCGCGGGGGCTTTGCCGCTGCTTCGGCCGCCGACCTGGCTTGGGCGGCGGCCAGACCGCGCCTTGGCGAGGACTTTGGGTTCGTGCTGCGCGTGTCGGAGCTGGAGGCTCGACGTCTGGACGTTGCGGGCGCCGACGCCGAGGTGAGGGTGAACGCGCTTCTCCTCTCCCTCCCCGCGGTGCTGGAGGAGGAGGAGCAAGAAGCGTACGAATACGAGTACGACTACACTTGCACGGATGTGGAGGCGGGCTCGGGATGGCACGCCCCTGGCGCCTGGCAGTTTCGCGACTTCGTGTCGGAGGCCATCGCTTTCGGCTTCGGGCTGAAGGCGGGTTGGCGGCTAGCGGCGCTCCAGACCGAGCGCGAAGAGACCGTGCAGGAGCAGAGCGGTGGCCCCGTGGGCTGCGACATCGACGTCGACGGGGACGTGGAGAGAGCGACGGCCCCGTGTGCGGCGACATCGATGTGAGCGGGGACGCGTCCCAGTGCGGCGTGGAGAGCCGCGGCCCCGTGCACGAAGAGGTCCCGGCAGCTGGCGCCGGCAAAATCTTCGACGAGAGCGGGGACGTGCGCAGCGACTTGACGCCGCAGCTCGGCGACGTTATGGCGCACACTGTCGAGACGGAGGTGGGCGCAGGCGACGTGAGCTCGGAGGACGTCGAGCTCGGGTGCCCAGGCGGCCACAAGGTCGCCTTGCGCCGACGACCGCCTTCCCCTTGGAGTGCGAATGGTACCACCGCGTCTACCCCCGCCGCTCCCCCACCTACTGGTGCGCTGCCTGCCCGTACACGGTGTGCGAGGACTGCTTCGGGTGAGCGCGCTGACTCGGCGGGTGCCCCGCGCTGCGTGGCCCGCCTGTGCCATGGCCACGGCCGCCCGTCTCGTCCCCCTGCGGACGGACGCCGTGGGCCAACCACCGCCGCGGCGGCTCCGCGGACAAGGACATCTGGGGCCCTGGACGTCGGCCGCTTGCGGGCGGCGGCCAGGGTTTCGTTCGAGGCTGCTCCTCCATCCGTCCACCCATCCATCCATCCATCAATCCATCCATCTCCTCCTCCTCCTCTTCCTCCCCCTCCCTCCTCCTCCTCCTCCTCCTCCTCCTCCTCCTCCTCCTCCTCCTCCTCCTCCTCCAACGCGTCCTCCTCCTCCTCCTCATCCTCCTACTTGCATCCTTGCATCCTGCCCCTTCGGCCCATCCTTGGCCGCCTTCGCTGGCCGCGCCCCGCTCGCAGAGTGCCGCCGTGGCCTTCAAGGCCCTTGCAGCCTTATCGCGCGTCCTTTTTGCACGAGCTGACTGCGCCGTCGGAGGTTTGGGTTTGCTCGCCGCCTCACGAGGTCGCGGGACGACCCGATGGCAGGCGGAGCTCCGCCGCCGTGCGGGTCGGGTTGCGGCGGCCCGCCGGGCCACGGCGGCCCAGACGGCGGCCGGCAGCCGCCGCCGCCGCAGGGCTGGCAGCAGCCGCCCCCGGGGCAGGGCTGGCAGCAGCAGCCGCCGCCGCAGGGCTGGCAGCCGCCGCCGCCGCAGGGCTGGCAGCAGCAGCCGCCGCCGCCGCAGGGCGGGCAGCACCCCCCGCCGCCCGGGCAGGGTTGGCCGCAAGGCCGGCCGCCGCAGCAGCCGCCGCCGCAGGGCTGGCAACAGCCGCCGCCCCGGGGGGGCTCCGGAGGCCCGCTCGCAGCGCGAGCGGCGCGACTGCACGGGGTGCGCGGCACTTCTCACCTCGGCCAGTTTGGAAGGGTGGGGGATTCGGAAGAAGGGAAGTTCGCCTCAAAGTCCTGGTCGCAAGGTGCCCCTGGAGAGGTCCTGAGAGTAGTGGGATACGGTATTGGTATGTTTTTGTTTCCTTTGGGCGGCCCCGATTCGTATAACAAGATCCCAGCCCTAGGCCCCTGCCACCCACTAGTTTCGGACTGAAGTGCTCCACCTGTGGGGCTCGCTCCGCTTGTGCCCGCTCAGGGTTTCTGGCTCCCCCGCTGGTGACCGAGGCCCCCCAGGACTTGGACTGGCACGGCAGATTGGCGTCGTGTCGACGTTGCGGCGACCCCGCCGCAGGCGTTCAAGGTAGAACGCCGCCAATGGCCCCGAGTCAGCCAACATGTAACGATTGAGCGGCCCGAAGCCGCCGACCGTTGAAGGTTCAACCCAGTCGTTTTCAGGAACAGCGCCGGGGTCGTGACGACACAAACCTGCAGTCACGAAATCCGAGCCCTGTGCACCTGCATCCCACCGATCCGATTCTCGGCTGGAAGAGTCTTTCGCGTACGGGGGTTCGCTCCGCTCGCGCCTGCTCGCGATTGCTAACCACCTGTAGTGACTTGCGCCCTCAGGATTCGGACGGGTAGGAGGGTTCGGGTTCACGCTCGCGCGTGCACGCGCGATCCTGCTCGCGCGGGTCCTCGCGTGCAGGCCGATCCCAGGTGCCGGCGACGCACGCGCGCGCACGCACAAGGGTCTTCCTGCGCATATGGGGAATTTTAGAGGATTTGTGTGTGCGCCCTTAATTATGTGTGTAAGTCCCTGGGTCCCTTCATCCTCCCTCTGTCCCTCGCGCTTGCTGATTGTTGCTGCTGCTGCTGCTGATCGTCCTCGTCGTCGTCCCCCTTCCACCGCCTCGTTCCCCGCTGCTCCAACTCCGTCCTTCCCCTACTCACGCCCCTCTTCCTGCTCAGCCCCCCTGTAGCTGCTCCATCTCATCGTACAAACTAGATTTCTCCTTTTCCTCCTTCCAAGTCCTCTTCCCCTCCATCCTCCGCCATCCCTCATCCATCTTGCCCTGTCCGTGATCCCTCTCCCGCTGTCTTCTCTTCAATCTGTATCGTCTTTTTGTTTCCGACCCTCTTGTGCGTCCCAAGTCGTCCTCCTCCTGCTCCTCCGCTTTCTCCGCTTTCTCCTCTTAGTCGTCCTTGCCAGCTCCCTACGCGTACTCTCCCGCTTTACCTCCGCCATTCCTCTTTTCCTCATCCCTCGCTCTGCTGACACCAGCTTTACACACTGTTCCCCTTCACCTCATTAGTTACGTTTACGTTGCCTCTTCAGGGGACCTCGTCTGTTCCCAAAATTGGTGTCTTTTCTTGTGCCCGACGCGGGCGTGATAAGGACTTGGCGCAGATCTGGCGTGGACTCGACGCGGACTCGACGTGGATTCGACGCGCACTCGGCGTGGATCCTATTCGGCTCGACGAGTCCGGCATGGATCAGCCACGGCTTCGACACGGATGGGGGCACGAGGGACGGGCAAGGCTCTCCGACGATGCCACGTCTTCCTCATCATTGCTGTTCGGCTCCGTGTAGGTGGGGCCAGGATCTCCGATTGTCTTTTCTGTGTCTGCCGTTGTTGCTGTTCGCGCATTATGTTTTCTGGTAGAGTGTTACATTCCGTCGCTGTTACTATTTATGTGGCCATTGTTCCATCGTTGTTACTATTTATGTGGCTGCTGGTGTCGCATGGTGCTGGATGTAGAGCGGGTGCGCATTCCATGTTTCACAATACAATAGGGGTGGTCTGATTTGTTGGGGGTCTTCTTGGAGCTGTCTTCGAGGGTTCCAGTATGGTCTGGGCAAAAGGTCGCCCCGTCGTAGCTGCTCTTGGGGATGGGCCTGAAACTGCTGGTCTGGGAGTGCTGTGACCCCCTCGCTTGTATTTCTCGGACGGGGCTAGGGCGAGGATAAAGCTGTTCCAGAACGTTCCAGAACGCTCTCAGAGCGTTCTGGATCGCTCCGAGAAGGCCGCGGCGCCCGAGGCATGATCCGTAGGCGTCGGATCTCAGAGATTTTCGATGTATCTAGGGTGATGAAGAATGGCATAAACATAAAAGCTCGAGGTCCGCGCGGATTTCTCGGATCAGCGCTCGACCCCACTCCCTGGCGCGCGGAGCGCGCCACGGGCGGCGCCGGAGGCGCCGCCAGGGGGGTCAGCGCGGATCCGAGAAATCCGCGTGGACTTCCAAGTTGTAATGTTTATGTCACTGCTCCTTCCCCTGGTCACCCTCGTGCTGGCTTCGTCCTCACTGCGCAATCTGGAGTGCCCTCCGCGCCGCCGTCCTCTTCCACCGCCCGAGAGCCGAAGCACGCCTTGGATGCCGCGAGAGGCGCGGGGCCCCGCAGTACTCGCGCCACCCCCGGCGGGCTGACTGGCTGGCCCCCCCCCCTCCTCCTCCTCTCCTCCCTCTCCTCCCTCCTCCTCCTCCTCCTCCTCCTCCTCCTCCCCCCCTTCCTTCCTCCTCCTCCTCCTCCTCCTCCTCTTCCCCCTTCCCTTCCTCCTCTTCCCCCTTCCTCCTCCTGGGTCTGTGTCTGGGTCGGGCGCGCCCAAGTGGGCCGCGTTGTGCCGATACCCTGGGCAAAGGGCAGGCGTGGCTGAGTCCCAAATAGGGCTCTGGCAGTGAGGCAAATGCACCGCGCGCGTGCCCGCACCCAAAAGGCCGGGTCCCACAAATGCAGAACAGTTTTAGGGCCCCCCGGGGAACCGCGCCTGCCCCCGCCAATAGTTAGACGGCGCGCAAGTGCGCGGCGCAACTGCGCAAGCAGCCTCCACTTCCTCCACCTGCGCAACCCTGCCTGCCCGGGGGGAGAGGAGGGCCCCGACCGAGACAGACACGACGACGAGACGACGACCACCGCGGCGACGACGACAACGACGACAACGGCGGCGGCAACGACGACGACGACGAAGAGGGCGACGAGGGCAACGAGGGCGGCGACGACGACCACGACCACAACCACCACGGCAACGGCGACGACGGCGGCAGCGGCAGCAGCCACAACAACGGAGACGGCGGCGACGACGACGGCGGCAGCAGCAGCGGCAGCAAGGACAGGACGACGGGCGCGCGGGCACACTTTCCCAGCGGAGTCCAAAAACCGAGCAGCACACGCTGCGAATCCGGCCGCGCCACGACCACACGGTAGCCGCGAGCCCCGCTAGTCCCGGCGGCGGCCGCGCCCCCCGCTCCGGGAGCGGTCAGAGGAGGAGCGCGAGCGAGGCCGGCGGCGGCGGCGGCGGGGCCCGGCAGCATGAGGGGCCGCTGCGCTCGCCCCGGGGAGGCGGCGGGCAGGCTCGCAGCCGCGGCGGCAGCAGCAGCAGCGGGAGCGTGAGGGAGCGCCAGCGCGGGCGGCGCGCCCAGCGCCCCTGGCGCCGGTGGGGGCGGCGCGGCAGCCCGGCCAGGTGCGCGGTGTTGGTTGCCCACCCAGGGGGTAGTCCACGACAGCGTCGCCCGGAGGAGACTCTCACGTTCTTCCGGGCCGCCAGAAATCGTGACCTTGGCTTGTCGCAGCCAGATGTTGATCACACCACCTCCACCAAGGGGCCTCATGGCCAGCCCGATCCTGGCACCATTGGACCCCCAAAGCCAGTAGGCTTGGCTGGCGTCCGTGTAGAGCGGGGCGCCCGCAGGGTGGGTCGCCACCAACTCCAAGACTTCCTGCGCTGTGAGCGCCCGGCCGTCCTTACGGGCCAGAAGAGCACGGCGGAAGCGGGCACTGCCCTCGCCTCCGGGCGCGGAAGCGCGCCGCGACCGCCGCGAGGAACCGGTGGGGGCAGGCGGCTGCGGCAGAACCGGCTGCGGGGGGCTGTCGGCGGGGGGCCCGAGGACGAAGACGAGCCACCCAGAGGCAGTGGGGGCGCCAGCGGGGGGGCCGACGACGCCGACGAACCACCCGGGAGCGGCGGAGCAGGGGGGGGCGCCCGCCACGGGGGTGCGGCGAGGGCCGCCGGCTCATGGGGCCCACCCCCCGGATGGGGGCCACCCGCGGCTGTCGGGGCCAGCACTGCGGCGGGGGCAGCGCCAGCGGCAACACCAGGCAGTTGTTGTTGGAGCGCTGCCGCCAACGGGGCAACACCGAGGCCCCCAAACGCCGTCACCAGCGTTTCCACGAGCGCCGGGGCAGGGGGGAAGGAGCCATCCGGAAGTAGGAAAGCGCTTACGGCCTGCCCCAGGGTGACCGGGCGTCCCCACCCGCCGATCACGGTGGCCGCCGCCAGGTCTGCTGGAGATGGCATGCCAGGTGTCGAGGTGATTACCACGCCAAGGATATGAGCCATGTCCGAGGACGGCAGCGGCCCCGAAGCGGAAAGGGCGTGTACCATCATGCCGAAGGCTGGCCCCAGGGTAGGGTGCGCTTGCCACTCGCTCGCGACCACCGGGGGTAGGAGGCTAGCCGCGGCCAGCACGGCGGGGGTCAAGGCACAACGCGGGGGCGCGCCCGGACGGCCAGCCACAGGGCCACACTCGTACGCCGACACCGCCGGAGGCGTGGGCGCAGCAGGAGGCGTTGCCGGCGACACTGGCGAGCCAGGGTGGAAGGACCGAGAGGACGACGACGAGCCCGAGGACGAACTGCGGCGCGAGGGCGGACGGCTGGCCCAAGGAGCAATCCCCCCGAAGCAAGCCAGGTGGCAGCGGCTGCGCTGGGCCCGGGGGGAGGGCCGGCCGCAGGAGGCACCGCGGGAGCAGCGGCGCTTGCCGCGGGAGGCGGGCCAGCTGCAGAGGGCACTGCTGGAGCAGCGGCGCAGGCCGCAGGGGGCGGGCCCGCTGCAGGAGGCGCTGCGGGCGCGGCGGCGCAGGCCGCCCCCAGGCGAAAGGACGCCGTCAGGCGGGCACGGCCCGCGGCATGGACCTCACGCGCGGCCGCGGTTTCGAAGTCAAGCTGCTGCTGCTGCGTGAGGTGGTT